TTAATTACACAATACTTAACTAAGCAGCTGATGTAGAATATGTTACAGTTTTTATCATTTCTTAAGTAACAAGAAATGATAATGTGAAATGCCAGTGGCGCAGTGAGTTAAAGTGCTGAGCTTGCTGATTGAAAGGTCACAGGTTCAAATCCACGGAGCGGCGTGAGCTCCCGCTGTTAGCCCCAGCTTCTGCCAACCTAGCAGTTCAAAAACATGCAAATGTGAGTAGATCAATAGGTACCACTCCGGCGGGAAGGTAAGGGCGCTCCATGCAGTCATGGCGGTCACATGACGAAAGAATCCGACAGGAAAGAGTAAAGATACGGGGAGAGAAAATGACAAAAATGATAAGGAAAAATATTATCAACCAACGGGAGAGAATATTAAGACTACAAATTACCTCCATCCACCAATCCTGCACCCCCTTTTCTCTCTCTCTCTCTCTTTTCTCCTCTTTACGCCTCCTCAACTCACCATTAAATCACAACCCTTCCCTTTCCTTTTCAGTCCCCCCCGTCCCCTTCCCCTTTTTTCTTTTCCTTTTCTTTCTCTTTCTTTTTAAGTGCATTATTATCAAAACTCTAATAAAAATATATTTAAAAAATTTGCTCCTTTGTTTTCTAATTTAAGAGAAAGCTTCCATATATGTCTTGATAGATTATCATAGAACTGATACAATTCCACTACTAGAAGAAAAATGCATTTTTTTCTCTCCACTCTTCTTATTATCACCCCAGAATCGAGGATGAACAACATTTTTGGGAAAGCATGCATACTCAATAACAAGGTTTAGAAGAGAAGATCCCTTATGACTTTCTCCAGCCCCTTTCAAGATTGTGGAGATGGAAAATATCCCTCCGTAGTTTTCCTGAAAGAAAGGATCCCTTTCACTTCCCAGAAGCAATGAGTGTTGCTTGGATGATCTCCAGCAAAAATGAATGCAGTCTAATTGATATTCACATAAAGCAGTGGAAAGAAGAGGAAAGACGAGAGTTCTCATGACAATCTGACCAATCACTCACTGCAGGGGAAGACCTCCAACAAAAGGAAACTCAACAATTAAAACAGCTTTCCATACGTTCCACCCTCCAAAAGGTTTGGACAGCAGATCACCTAAACACAGCAAACACGGCTAGTGATGAAGGATTATGAAAATTCATTTCTAGAGGGCACAAAAAGTAACTTTTCTGAGGTCCAAGTGTTTGAAGAAATGAAGTGAGACAGACATATCACAATAAATCCATGTTTTTTAAGAAAGATTACAAAAGAAATCTAAATGTTAATGCACAATATGGATTATTTCTGTGAACCGGAGGGCCAGTTCACGCTCCCTCAGACTGTTGGGGTGGGCAGACTATCTTCTAAAAATGTAATGTTCGTTTGTGGGATTAACATATCTCAAAAACCACTGGACAAATTGACACCAAATTTGGACACAAGATGCCTAATAACCCAAGGAGTGACCATCACTCAAAAATTGATTTTGTCAGAAAACACTGGAAGGGTTTTGTGGACATTGACCTTGAGTTTAGGAGTTGTGGTTCACCTACATCCAGAGAGCACTGTGGACTCAAACAATGAAGGATCTGGACCAAACTTGGCACAAATACTCCATATGCCCAAATAATAACACAGATGGAATTTGGGGGAAATAGACCTTGACATTTGGGAGTTGTAGTTACTGAGATATATAGTTCACCTACAATCAAACCCCACTAACAATAGAATTGGGCCAAACTTCTCACACAGAACCTCCATGACCTACAGAAAATACTATGTTTACTCGTGGTCTTTCATGACCATTCTGACACCCACTCAAGAATGCCTCCCAGGGGTCCTAACCCCCAGGCTGAAAAATGCTGCCTCAATGCCATCCAGTCCAACTCCCTTCACCAGGGCAAGAAAACATAACCAAAGCCCTCCTGACAAAGAGCCATCTAGCCATCGATATAGATAGAAATGATTCACACACGCACACACATATGTATATGACAGATATAGTATCATAGATTTGAAAGGGGCCCCTAAAGAAGGACAATTATATGTTTCATGTTCTAGAGTAGGCAAACCAGACAATCTCCACATCAACACAAAGAAACAACAAGAAATACTGTTTACCCACAAGCAAAAAAGAAATTACATATATTAGAAACCAACACTTTCTCATTACTTTATTTTCCAGATCACCAGACTGGGCCACAGCAACGTGTGACAGGGGACAGCTAGTAGTTTGAATAAAGCATGAACCAATTCCAATGCACCTGCACATATCTTATTTGTAGTGCAAAAAAACCCATGAAAGAACAATACAATATTTAAAATGAAGAACAATTTTAACCAACATAAACTTGCCAGTATTTCAATGGGAAGTGTGGGCCTACTTTTGGCTGGTGAAATAGTCAAGTGAATTAGGGTTGTTGTTTTTGTGTGCCTTCAAGTCGCTTCAGACTTAGGGTGACCTTAAGTCTAAAGTTTAGGGTGTGGGAAGGGTAAATGACCTTGGAGGCCGCATCCAACCCTTAGTTTGGGGACCCTCAGATTAGAACAGTGGTTCCCTGTGGTCCATGGACTACCAGTGGTCCGCAAAAATGAAAATATGATGCGGCCTCACCATTACTACATCATTGCCTTGAAACCATGTGGCAATGAGAGCAACTGGTCTCACAAAACCCTCTTATAGTGCAGAGTTAACAGGGATGTCGGGAGAGGGAGACTGACTACCCACGAAAGATTACTACTACCACATCAGCTCTAGATTACTAAATATAGTTTTCTGTGGGCGAACAGGTGGTGACTACTGGATGACATATGTCCTGTATCAGAAATTAGAGCTGATGTGGTCTATCCAGTGCAATTTTCTGAACCAGCACCCCAAATAATCCAATCAAATCTAAAGTTGACCAAAAACTGATTCGTAACCCTTTTGGTACTAATGTTGGAGAACGGTGCCTGGTCAAATTACTCCCTGTTTAAGTGGTCCCTGGTCAAAAAAAAGGTTGGGAACCACTGGCTTAGAGTATATCTGCTATCTTATATTAATTTGGGGGCATATCCATTTAAAGTACATAATACACCATGGCCAGTCATGAAGTCTCTATTTAAATGGGTATGATTTGATTCTCGTTTTATACAAAAGGGTAAAATTTTGTTGACAATTTCACTGATGAGAAATGTGTGGCAAATATTGTCTCATCAACTGCAATTTGACCAATACACTCATACATTCACACTCATAATGTATATAATTTATATGAATAGTAAGCAGTGGAACACTGCTAAGAAAATAGAAGAATACTGTAACAGTTGGTGTAATTCATAGATAGACTGGAACCTTTCTTCAGACCAAGGAAGTACATCAAATATTTCTCCATATTAAATTCTTGGGTTATATCTCTCAGTGACATTTTTCTTGCTTATGGCATTTATATTCAGACATCTTACAATGAAAGTGTAGGTCATAACAAATTTTAAAAATAAAAAATAAAAATTCTGTAAAACAGTAAGTAAAAAATGAAAAGCAGCAGGCATTTGTGCTATTGGGCTTTAGCACAGCAGGTCATTTGCTTGATGCCCTCTCATTTGCATATTTCCTACTCCTACCTCACCCAGGATTTTATCGTTTTATCTTGTCCATTTGGCCTGCCCATCCTATTTTATATTGTGTGAATGTGTTTTACTATTTCATTTTGTTGTTGTAATTTATATTTTTTTTATGTATTTTGTCTTGCATTTTGTATTTTTCTGTGTTGTATTGTATTTTTAGAAGGGCTTGGCCTCATGTTAGCCGCCCCAAGTCCCCATTGGGGAGATGGTGGCGGAGTATAAATAAAGTTTATTATTATTATTATTTTCTGCAAAGTTTATTGATTAGTCCACTGACCGTATCAGCATTAAAAACAAAAACAGAAACGTACACAAATAGACAATAATGACTATTCTAAGACTCCCATAATAGTGAACTAACATACATTCAAAGTTGATTAAGTTAAAAGAGAATTAAAAATATCATCATTAAAATGCCAAGGTAAAATTTCAAACCACAAAAATTAAAAACGAAAGTTAAAACAAAGGTTAAAATAGACCAGCTATTACACAATCCCAAGCCACTTCAGATATCTGCATCACCCCTACAGTTTACCCCAATCTCCTCCAGATACGCAGTTCTCAGCTGTGTTGCTTTATGAAGGAAAAGGGCTGTTTGGTGTGTTATCTTAGCATTCTGGCCAGCCATTAAGAATGTAGTTTTGATATTTATTATTATTATTATTAGTAGTAGTAGTAGTAGTAGCAGTGGTAGTGGTAGTACAATATAGTAATATATAATACTGATACTGTACTATACTAATAGTTTAATATATTGTATGTATATATATCTTGTAAGCCGCTCTGAGTCCCCTTTGGGGTGAGAAGGGCGGCACCGGGACTGTGGCGCAGCTGTCTGAGTGTCAGCTGCATTAAGATCACTTCTGACCAAAAAGTCATGAGTTCAAAGCCAGCCCGGATCGGAGTGAGCTTCCGATCAATTGTGTAGCTTGTTGTCGACCTTTGCAACCCGAAAGACAGTTGCATCTGTCAAGTAGGAAAATTAGGTTCCACGTATGTGTGGGGAGGCTAATTTAACTAATTTACGAGGCCATAAAAAAGACTCCAGCAAAGCACTCCAGCAAAAGCATGCGGGGAATGCAGAAGTACTTCATCAGTGTCGCAGATGGACGATGAAAGCGACAGCTCCCCTGGCGGCCAGAAAAGTTAAATAGCCTCTGACTGTCTGTCTATATGTGTTGTGTGTCTTTGGCATTGAATGTTTGCCATATATGTGTACATTGTAATCCGCCCTGAGTCCCCTGCGGGGTGAGAAGGGCAGAATAAATAAATAAATAAAAATATCGTAAATAAATAAATATATCTTCTAAAAAGAATACATTCTTAGTTCTAGACTCCTCAACAACCACACAGAAAAAGATAGAAGGGGTAAAAAAAGTTATTAGAAAGGCACTTACCTCGTGCCATATAGACTGCAGAAGATAAGAACGTAATGCCTGGCTTCTTGAAATTTGAAATGTTACCAGCTGATCTGACGTAACCCTGCAGTGCCTTAATTCATTATGAGTTCTCCACCAGTCAATAGAGTTCCAGGCAACAATTCCTATATGACCGGATGGTAAAGTCCTTACAATTGCTCTCGTCCCAGTGTAGACTGTTTTCTTAACCTTTTTGTCATTCTTGCAAAATCTTCTGGTTAATAAGGTGGAGCGTTCCTTCTTACTTCGAGAAAGATCTTCCTCTGATTCTTCTCCATTGCTTTCATTGCTGATTTCCAAATGGCTCAGGATAGGCTTTGAAGGCATTTTTCCAAGAAAATTAACACTTGAGATGCTGTGATCAGAACACGCCACGCTGAGTTTTTGGGTTGCTGTTTCTAAATGAAAACAGCTATCAGTTGAGGTGTCACACAACTGTTGTCCAGTTTTATCCCCACAGGTAGTTGATAGTTCCATTGAGTTACAAGTGCAGGTTGAGGAAGCATTGGTGCAATTATTATAAACCTTTACTTGCTGGAGGCAATCGTCCCAAACAAATCTGTTGTGCAAAGTACACAGACGTTTTGAGATACTGTTTCTTTCTGTGACATAATTTAAAACAGGTCTGTCGGTTTCGTTTTTATTTACTGAGGATTGGCTTCCTAGCGACTTCAACTCAACTTGAGATCCATCCATTTTTAATTGGATTTCAGCATACATGGCTCTTTCCAGTAAAGGAATTCCAGTTTCTAAACATTTATCTTTTTTTGGGAAAGTGTCACATGATCTATATAAGTGGTTATGTATAGTGTTGTTCTTGTAGCCCTTTTGTAAAAGATCATAATTTATGTTCAGAAATTCCAAAGAAGCAGGGATACATGTGCCTCTATTCCAGAGTTTTTTACGATCGGTCATTTCTTTCTCATCTATTACAGTAGAAATAACAAATAGTGCTCGCTAGAGGTGCTTTTCTTCATTTCTATAATCAGGACATATTCATGTCATACGTATTTTAACAACTAACATCCAGCGTGTTTTATCACTATTTCCTTTTTGGTGGACAAGAAAGAGTGTCAAAGCCCAGTGTGGACAATATTTTTTCAGAGCTCATTCTGACACACAAGCTTCTAATATTTCTGTTTGCCAAAAACACAAGAAAACACCAGTCTATACACAGCTGTATTATTGACAATCTCCAAAACTATTTCAGGAGTAGATTATCACAGCAGAGTATCTGTTTGGAATAACAACTCTCAGGAGTACTTTTCTTTACAGGGACCCATTTCCTTCATAGTAGTTTCCCTTGTCTCTTGTTATAAGCGTGCAGAGCAACATACTTTAAAAGGTAATTGCTTCCGAAGTCGTCCCACTTCCAGTTAGTTAATTGCCTGCAAGACAAAAGACAAACCATAGTTAGCAAAGTGCCAGGTATAAGCATATACATAACAAAGTAATGAGAAACATCTTAACAAACTGTTAATAACATCCAACACAAAATAAAAATATATGGGGTGTTGTGTGGTTTCAGGGCTGTATGTCCCTGTTATAGTAGCACTTTCTCCTGATGTTTTGTCTGCATCTGGGACTGGCATCTTTAGAGCAGTGGTTCTCAACCTTTCTAATACCGCGACCCCTTAATACAGTTTCTCATGTTGAGGTGACACCCAACAATAACATTATTTTAGTTGCTACTTCATAACTGTAAATTTGCTACTGTTATGAATCGTAATGTAAACATCTGATATGCAGGATATATTTTGATTAACTGGACCAAATTTGGCACAAATACCCCATATGCCCAAATTTGAATACTGGTGGGGTTGTGGGGGGATTGATTTTGTCATTTGGGAGTTGTAGTTGCTGAGATTTATAGTTTACCTACTATCAAAGAGAATTTTGAACTCCACCAAGGATGAAATTGAACCACACTTAGCACACAGAACTCCCATCACCAACGGAAAATACTGGAAAAGTTGGTGGGCATTGACTTTTGAATTTTGGAGTTGTAGTTCACCAACATCCAGAGAGCACTGTGGACTCAAACAATCATGGAACTGGACCAAACTTGGCACGAAAACTCAATATGTCCAAATGTGAACCAGGATCTATATGTGTCGTTTGTCTATGGCATTGAATGTTTGCCATGTATATGTACATTGTAATCTGTCCTCAGTCCCCTGTGGGGTGAGTAGGGTGGAGTATAAATACTGTAAATAAATAAATAAAAACTGTTAAGGCCTTCCAATGCTGTAATGGCCAGGTGTACTGAACAACCATCATATACGTATGTATGATATAGAATAATTTAGAATGAATCAAGCTCTAAGATTTTATAATGACACATTCTAATGATACCATTTGAATTTGCCTAGCTTTAATAATATAACACCTAGTTGTCTATTGGAAACAAATGAGATGTAATCTATAAGCCAAGTGCCGTTTCATTAATACTATCAATAATTCAGTAGAAAGTGACACAAAATCTCATTTTGATATATCACAAATGAGTACGTACCCTACCTACTTCAAAACTGTAGGTTAACAGGAAGAGGAAAAAGATTATGTACTAAGAAATCACATTAGTTCAGATGAAACAGCAGAAAAATATTTGTTGAAACATTAGTAAACTTTTAAAAAATAATCTATATATATTTAAATCCTTATATGGGTGTGAATTGGATTGACCCAAGTAAACATACATCAAGGGGATTATTCCAAGCCAACATGCAGAAATATGTTTCTTCCTAAGTGCTATACTTTAGGAATCTTTTCTGTAAGGTGTTAATACCCTCAACATTTACCGGAGATTGGATTATAAAGGACTGGAACAGGAAGGCAATCTAGTATCCAAAATAGAATTGGAGTGGGGGGAAAGCTAGCAGCTGGCTCAAGTTGTATCAGGATGGTAGACTACAAACTCTAGACTTGAGTCTTAGAAGAGAGATTCTAAGGTATTAAATGTCAAATGTCTATTGATAGAGTAGGCACATGATTTGAATGAGTAGATATTGAAAAGTGAAGTACTGAAAAAAGAGCAAGACTCATTGGGTTGAATGTGAGCAACTAAGACTGGATCTACACAGCCATACAACAACAACAACAACAACAAGAACAACAACAACAACAACAACAACACTTTATTTATATTCTGCCCTATCTCCCTGAGGGGACTCAGCGCAGATTCCAGAACATACACACTTATACAGACACAAGGTAAACATTCAACCTTAAAAACTTCCTCCAGCTTTTGTCCCACAAGTTCTTCACCCCACCATCCTCCAAAAAATCGGGTGCCCTAACAAATTTGTAAACATCCTGTGGCTCCTCCATGATGACATGATGGCAACAGTCTTGGACAGCAATGGCTCCCAAAGTGACCCATTTAAGGTGGAATCAGGTGTCAAACAGGGATGTGTTATTGCCCCAACTTTATTTTCCATCTTCATCGCTATGATACTTCACCTTGTTGATGGGAAGCTTCCCACCGGAGTGAAAATCATCTATCGAACAGATGGCAAGCTATTTAACCTCAGCAGACTGAAAGCCAAAACCAAGGTTACAACAACATGTTATAGAACTCCAGTATGCTGATGACAACGTCATCTGTGCGCATTCAGAAGAAGATCTACAAGCTACTCTAAACACCTTTGCAGAAGCATACGAGAAGCTCGGCCTGTCATTGAACATCGAGAAAACCAAAGTGCTCTTCCAGCAGTCACTGGCCAATCCCTCTCCAATGCCAGAAATACAGCTTAATGGTGTAACATTAGAAAATTTTGACCATTTCCGCTACCTCTCCACAAAAGTCAATATCGACACTGAAATTCAACACCGCCTGAGCTCTGCAAGTGCAGCATTTTTCCGAACGAAGCAGAGTGTTTGAGGACCAGGACATCCGTAGGGATACCAACGTGCTTCTTTATAAAGCTATTGTCCTCCCAACCCTGCTTTACGCCTGCGAGATGTGGACAGTCTACAGACGTCACATGCAACTCCTGGAACAATTCCACCAGCGCTGCCTCCGAAAAATCCTGCAAATCTCTTGGGACAAATGTCAGCGTGCTGGAAGAAGCAAAGAACATCAGCATTGAAGTGATGGTCCTCCGCCATCAACTCCGCTGGACTGGCCATGTTGTCTGGATGCCCGACCACCGTCTCCCAAACGCAAGAAAGGAAAACGGAATGTTTGAGGACAGGTAAAGAGATTTAAAGATGGGCTCAAAGCCAACCTTAAAAACTCTGGCATAGACACTGAGAACTGGGAAGCCCTGGCCCTTGAGCGCTCCAGCTGGAGGTCAGCTGTGACCAGCAGTGCTGCAGAATGGAGGGCGAAAGAGAGAAACGTGCCACGAGGAATGCGCATCAAGCCAACCCCGACCGGGACCAACTTCCACCTGGAAACCGATGCCCTCACTATGGAAGAAGATGTAGATCAAGAATAGGCCTCCACAGTCACCTACGGACCCACCAGCACACTGATCTTGGAAGACTATCCTACTCGGGCAATGAGGGATTGCCTAAGTAAGTAAGTAAGTAAGTAATTCAATGCCTCGAAACAATGAAACACAGATACATAGATACAGGTAAAGGCTTCCACTTCATCTCTGGCAGTGGAGGGTGGTGGTCATCTCAATTTCTAAGCCAAAGAGCCTGCGTTGTCCGTAGTCACCTTGAAGTTAATGTGGCTGCATGGAGCGACGGTTACCTTCCCACCGAGGCGGTACCTATTGATCTACTCATATTTGCATGTTATCGAACTGCTAGGTTGGCAGGAGCTGGGGCTAACAGCGGAAGCTCACCCCTTCCCTCGAATTTGAACCGCCAACCTTCCTGTTGGCACATAGACTCATAAAATCCAGTTCAATGTAGTTAATCCACTGTCTGAAACTGCATTATATGGCAGTGTAGATTCAGTCTAAGTTAAACTGATATCATTGGATTCTAATTTCAACTAACCTTGTGTAGATCTAAATATTGTACAAACCATGCTTTCTTATTACCAAAAAAAATTTCTTTAGTTTTTGCTTACTTCCACCATGAGAAGGAACACAAATTAGTGGGAAACCACAACCATTTACCCAATTTTATCTGATTAGCTAACACTATGCTGTGAAAGGCACCTGTGAAACCACAGATTTTTACTTAAAATCTAGAACTGGTTTGACGGATCACAGACGACTTCATCGGATGTAGGGAATGTGGTCTGAGTAGGTAGTGGCTATTTATACATGTTCTTGGGTGGGAGTTGAATGCAGGGAACAGAACTGAAACAGGCACAAAGCTGATTATTATCTCAACAGTGGTCATTTAACAAAGAATAATTGGAAGGTGACAAAGGCATCCTAACATAGATCAACAGATTGGCGTACACCCAGGGCCCTTCCACACAGCTGAATAGAATCCCACATTGTCTACTTTGAACTGGAATATATGGCAGCGTGGACTCAGATAACCCAGTTCAAAGCAGATATTGTGGGATTTTCTGACTTGATATACTGGGATATAGGGCTGTGTGGAAAGGCCCTCAGTGGTGAAGATTCTTTGTCAACCCAACTATAAGAGACAAAGGCTAGTACCCTGTTAGGTAATGACACCATTGTAAATAGAAGCATTGCGAAATACTTCTATTAGAAGGAGATAAGAAAGATGGGCTATATTCACACAGTGGAATTATAGCAGTTTGACACCCCATTAACTGCATGTCTCAATGATATGGAAATCTGGGATTTGTATGAGGGTTGAATAAGAAGTAATGCCTCCACTTTCGTAACTCTCAACAGATGGCAGTACTGGTATGCGGCAGGTACTGGCTTGTTCAGTAGACTCTCCTCTACACTTCCATTTTGGTGGGAAGCCTTAGCATTGAACGGTTGTGTTGTTAACATGTGAAGTATGGAACCCTGCGCAGACAGTCATGCAATGTCATGCAATCATTGAATTCTTGACAGCAGACGGTGTCACCCCAAAGGAGATTCGTCAGTGAATGCAAGCTGTTTATGGTGATTGTGTTGATGTGAGTACTGTGCGTCGTTGGGTGAGTTTAAAGACGTTGAGGTGGGAACATCTGACTTGGGTGACAAACAAAGAGTTGGACGTCCTGTGACAGCAGAAGGTGTCACCTCAACATCTTTAAACTTACTCACCCAACAGCGCACAGTACTCACATCAACACAATCACCATAAACAGCCTGCATTCTCTAATGAATCTCCTTTGGGGTGACACCTTCTGCTGTCAAGAATTCAATGAATTAAGCACGTTGCTTAAGTCGCATTGACTGACGGCCTACGCAGGGTTCCATACTTTGCTACCTGGCTTAGAATATCAATATTGGCAAATCCAGGGTCTACAAAAATATAAATAACAAAGGGTGGAGAAAGTGCTTAACAC